TTTGATTTGGGGCAGTGGTGTTCGCTGGCCCAGAGAAGCAGTGGTCTCCTCCCGGTGAAGAGCAAGGAGAGAAACACGCTTTTGAGAAGGAGGAGGACGAGGGAAAGGATTGGCTCAAGAGGCTGAATGGAAGCTGTAATGGATGCAGTTAGTCGCTGGGAATGGCCCAAAAGCTGCCCATGATTCCTTAAGACAATTAAAAGCAAATTGTCCGGCTGAGCGATCCCAGAGCAAGGAAGATGCTCCCCCAGACTATAATTCAAGGGGCTGAATGGCCCTCAAAAACTGAGAGCAGAGAGAGGAAAAAAAAAAAACAACCCAGAAGATGAGGCAAATGATGGAACAGATGTGAGCGCTTTTGTTGAGAAGACTTGGAGGCTAGCGGGATGGCGATAGGCTAATTTGAGGCACATAATGCCAGGTTCCTTTCATATGCAGAATAGCACTTTGATCCAATGTGGATGAAAGTGCTGAAAAGTGGAGAGGGTGGCAGGGGGTCTTTTGTCTTTGACAAAAAAGGCATCTGCTGGGCTCTAACCCTCTTTTCCCCACCCCTTTAGCCTAGCAGGCCACTCCAACAATGCTAGCAAAGGGGACAAGTGTCTCCTGACAGCTGAAGAAATCTCCAGGAGGAGAATGAGGCTTGCAGCAATATGTATACCAAGAGAGCTTAATCGATTTTTTCCACAGTACAAAAAGGGAAAGGGCTGGGGGAAGACAGAGAGATCACAGTGGAAGTGGGAGGTGGGAGGAAAAAATCCCTTTCTAATAAACTTGTTACTTTTGTTCTCCACATACATCTTTTCAGGAGATGCTTTGATGCTAGTATGAATACACTTAATGGAGCAGAGTAGAGTTAGAGTTGCTGCGGGTTGGGGGGTGAAGTAAGAAAAAATAGTTTTGCAAGGAGGATGAATGTGATTACTATGGATCCCGAAGCAGGAAAGATTTTGGTATTGGTAAAACAGCACAATGAAAGAGATACCTGGAAGACAGATGAATACTTTGTGTACCACCTGTTGGAGGAGCACAGCTCCGTGGAAATTCTTGGTTTTGATTTTTAAGCAAAATTGAAAATTTCTCTTTAAATCTTTCATTCTTTTCTGTTGTTTTCTTTACTTCTTGGACTTACTAGAAATTAAAGGACTGCAGGATTGAATGGGGAGCTAGGAAGGCAAGTAGTGTTTGTGCCAAGCAAACACAGCAGTTGCAGAACAGCTGCTCATCTGGTCCCTGCTTCTCATGATCTGTTGACTTTCTTCAGCTTTTCACATCTGGTAAACAAGACTGGGATTCGGCCCACAGAGTTTGGCTGTGGTTTTCCTGAAGTATCGCTTTGCACCTAGTCTAATGTTTTCTTTGAGAAATAATGACAGATAAGAGTTATCAACTTCTAACCAAGACCCACCTAAGCAAATTAAATCCTTTAAGAACAGTAGGTTCAGGAATCTTCCTTCTCTTCAGATTCTGACAGTGTTTATCTGTTACTATTTACCAAAGATAACCTTCTCACCAGGGCACAGCTTTGAGCAACACCTGGTACTGCAGAGACCTCCTCCCTTTTTACCCCCACACCTCTTCTTTTTCTGCTAGGGAGTTACAATTCCCCCAAAAAGTTACAGAAATGGAGAGATACAGTTATCACATTCCCTTGAGAGGCTCTATGAATACACTGATGCCAAATCATGATCCTGTGTAGTTGTTCCATGTAGGTGTGCCATGATCCCTCTCCAGCAGATGCCTCCATTCTGATGAGTCCAGTTGACGTGGAGAGTACTTTTGGCAACAGCATCTGCTGTCCTCCAGCTATGCAAAACTATCATAACTCATTAGGGAGGGCTAATTGTTGAGGACATTGATGCTCTTTTGAATTCTGCCCATTTTGTGTCTTGACTTTTCTTGCTCCCACTCTTTGGACTGTGGTTTTGAATAGTGCAGAGGGAACTGAGCTGCTGCTACCGTCATCAAAGGAGCTGAGACCACCTCTGTCCCTCATAGTGGCAAGGTGAAAGTCCTCTCTCTGAGCAGGCTTCAGGTGGTTCTTGTGTGACCTCCTTCTCGGGTGCTAGCTACGTACAGTGATAGGGTGCAGGTCTAGATCCAGATGAAGAAAACTATTGCTCATGGGGAAGTCTGACCTGGCAGGGAACAGCCCTCTGAAATTCACCATGCCAAAGAAAAACAGCCCATGCAGTTCACAAACTCCCTGCCAAAGCTGCCTCACCAGGACAGCTTTGTGGCATGCCAGCAGTAAGATTAGAGATATTAAGGGAGGAGGGACAAATTGCCTCTATTCCTGTGTAAATGTGTGTGGTAATCCTTCATAACTGCAGGTAGTAATTGCAGTTTTAAGCCACACTCTTGAGACAGACTTCTTGATCCATTTGTAGTTTACTGTGTGCTAGTTTCCTAAGGCCAGTGAGTGGGCATGAGGAAGGAAGGTACCTGTGTGGGTCGACCTGGCTGCTAAGAACCAGGCCAGGCCTGTTTGGAGAAGAGACTGAATGTTTCACCTGAAACACAGGTGGGAAGAGGTGTGCATGGAGCAGAGGGCAGCATGCAGAGCAAGTGACAGCAGGAGTGCAGGGTGTGGGAGTCCAGCAAAGAGGAAGATTTGCTTTGTTCTTATGTCTCGCCCAGCAGGCTGGTGTTTTCCCCACAGGAATTGTGTTCAAATGAAAATCAAATGGTAAAGATTGCAAAACCTCTTTGATGTCCTTACTTGACATTGAGGCAGCACTACCTGACCAGCTTCGGAGGCCATCGCCAGGTGTTATCCTTGCTCTGTGGATAGCGACTGTCTGGTCAGTGTTTCAGAGGCTCTCGAGTCTAGAAAGGGCCATATTGCTTTAATGGTAAATTGTCCCAGCGCGTGCTCCGATGCTAGTCGAGTAACTTACAAAATAAGCCATTTCCATGAAAGTGGTTTTGGCTCAACTAATTGTACATAAAAGATTTTCCTGGCATAACCTAGCAGTCCTGGCTGTAGAAATCCCACATTTTCAGCATGGATTTGGCTTGTCTCTCAGTGAATCTCGTCTGGTCATTAACATCCATTAGAGCTCCTCTGTGTGGGAAGTGGAGCCAAACAAATGGCAAATGATGGCTTCAGAGTGCAATAAACTCCAGCCTACATGCAAACTTTTGTTCAGACATAAAGTGGTTTCAATTTTTTTGTTTAATTTGCTTCCAAATTAAACGGAGTTCCTTTGCAATACAGCCACTGGTTAGTTTGATGTGACTTACCTGTGTGAGTGAAAAATACCTGGAGGTATTTTTCTAATCAGGTACAGTTTTACCAATAAAGTGAATTCTTGGCTTTTTTAAAAATATGAAATGGGAGCGAATGTTGCTGTTCATGAACACCCTTCCAGAACTAATCCTAAATTATGAGATTTAATATTTGGTTAAATATACAGTGGTTTGGATCCAGACAGGCAGCTGTAGCTGTAGTGAGAACAGCACGATTTCAAGTTTGGTAGGACCTGCACCTTTTTGTAGGAGATGGATTGTTGTGCTTGGGAAGCGCAAATTGCCCCTGGTCGTTCCCACATCTGCCCTGTCCCGTAATCCCAAAGTTTGGTTCACATGATTTTAGTACTTTGAGAGTATGCTTACTCATGTGTGAGTTACATGGTGTTGGTGAATACCTCCAGTTCCAGAATGCTTTTGATGGTGTTTGAGGCAAATATCTAGGAGCCCTCATCAGGCTGTGGGGAGTCCCAAAGCTTGGAAAATAACCCTCCTAAAAAGTAATTTCTGAAATGTTTCAAGACTCCAGCAGTATCTCTCAGCTTGTTACCTTTACAAATAAAGAAAATAAGCCAGGAAGTAGTAAGAAGGCTTGTTACAGTTGTCTATGGAGTGCAAACCAGCAGTAGCTTGTGTTCAGGAGACATTGCAGTGTTTTACTTGCCAGGTGTTGATGGAGAGCTGCTGCTTTTGTTGGTGAGTAGCCAGCTCCGAACCTCACCAGTGTGCCTGCTGGCGTCCCATGCTCAGCCTGGGCAGTTTCTGCCCCAAATCCTTCCTCAGCTCTGTGCTGTTCTGGGGCTCAGTGGCTGCCTGCTGCAGTGGCTGGAGTAGCAAGGGGGAGATAAAGAGGTGCTGCATCACCTGTTTGGCTCCAGAGACCCCTGTCTAGTGTTGCTCCAAGCTGCTCTCCTGTGCCTTTTACATGGCAGTCATCCTCATGGGATGTGCATTGCCCTGGGAGGGAGGCAGCCGGATTGGCAGCTCTCTCTGGGTCAAGCCCAGAGGCCACTGCCCTGGGAGAGCCATGCTGTGCTGGAGGTAGGGAAGCAGCAACACCTGCAGGAGACCTCTGCTGATCTCCTCCCTTTCTGATCAAGGGAGAGGCTCCTTGTGGAGGCTGTGCCAGCCACTGTGGTTCAGCTGGAGGCAAAGGGAACAGGAGTGTTTGCATTTCCAGGTGAATGTCAAGGAGGAGGGAGTGCAGGAGGCAGTCAGCTGGGCCGCTCATCTCAGATTTTGCTGGCAGGAGGGTAGCAGCCACTATCCTTCTCCCGCCTGCTCTAAAAAACTGGAAACAAAGTGGGTATATGGGAGAAGGAGGCACAGAGAAGAAAATGATAGCAATTAGTGTTCCTTGCAGATGAGGAAGAAAGGGCAAACAAGAAGAAGCCATGAGAAGCTGTGGAGATGGGAGTCCATCAGGCCCTAGGGCTCTGTGGTGGTCAGCAAACTGTCATCCAGGGGAACAAGACTGCCCCCATTTCAGGCTGCCCCTTTGAATCCTCTATATTAATAATATCATGGGAAAAACCTCCTGAGTTATGTGAGGTGAGTCAGTTCCCTATGAGCAGGTCTGAGCTGTGAGTACCTGCAGACCTGGAGGCATGGGTTGGCGATGAGTGGACTGGAGCATGAGCAGTTTCAAACAGCCTTTGGCAGGTGGCTCTATATCTGTGACCTATTCAAAGGGCGAGACAAGAACTCACCAGGAACTCTGTCTTTTCCTCCCTCTCCCCCTTCCTCAGGTGGTCTTTGCTTTGAATCAGACTCTCTTGCAGCAGGAGAGCCTCCGAGCAGGCAGTTTCCAGATCCCCTATACGACAGAAGATCTTATCAAGCATTACAACTGTGGAGACCTCAGCTCCATCATCTTCAACCATGACACTTCTCAAGTGAGTCCTGCCACCACAGCCTTTGTACTACGCACATGTCCCCATAGTGCTAACCCCTGTCTCATGCTCATCTCTCCTCAGGCAGGCCCTTTGCAGGCAAGGGCCAAGGCCATGTTGCTGGTTCCCTGCACATCTGCTTTCCTGCACTTCCTGTCCCAAGAGTCTGCATCACCTCACCCCTGTCTTGCTGCACAGAAGCAGTGAAGGCACGCCTGGCTTTCCCTTCTGGACAAGTGCCATGTTTGCTTTAGTGTCAAATCTCTATGAGTTAATCCTTTATTTTCTTAAGGATCCTGCGGAATTATGCTAGCTTTGATATGAGCAAACTTAGTGCCAACAGAGAGCAGCAGTAGGCTTTTTTGTTCAAATAGCAACAGAGAAATGTACTTGTGACTTGGACGCTTGTGTAAGGCTGGGCAAGTTGCAAGCTTTTAATGTCCCATATCAGTATGACTGTGTGCTGTGGGCAAGGCCCAAAGAAGAGAAATGGGGTGAAACAAAGAAAAGATAGATTTAGACCGAATGTTAAGGAAAAGAAAACCTTCTGAGGCCTCACAGACTTAGTTTATGGAGACGGTTTCCTAAGCAGCACAGTGGAATGCAATGCTCTGATCTTTAAACCACAAGAAAATGCCCAGCAGGGACCAATTTGGCCTGTTTGGGCTGTTAGATTAGCTAACCTCAGACTGAGACATCAGGTCTCTCTATTCTTGTCACGAGGTGCTGCCTGACATTTTGTCCACATCAATGGAAACAGGTCTACCCTCACAGTGCTGAACAAGTGGATGTTGGTATCTGGGCTTTCCCTGCTGAATAAGCATTTTTCTATGGCCTTTTGATATATATGGTTTAGTGCTGCAGAGCTGGAAACACTGTCATACTAACCCTTACTTCTCTACCACTGAGCTTTGCACACATGTTGTTACTTTCCTGTCCTGCTGACCATTCAGCCTGCAGGTGCAGGGAACCTGGTCATTAACGCTGCTTAGCTCTTACACTGTGTACTTCATTCATTGATTTCAAAGGGCTTCTCAAAGGAGACCAGCACCATAAGAGCATACAATTGATGCTTCACTATTCTGCTGAGGTGTTACAGGCTACAGACAGCTGACATTGCCTTGAGGTCCTTGGAAAAACAGCTCTTGCTAAAACATGCATATCCCTGAGGGAGCAACTGCCCTTCACTTCCACGAGGGGCTCCACTGCAGGGTACTATCCCTCGCAGTGGAGTTGAGTAGTAGTAGACTGTGACACACTATCAGCCTGTGTTTTTAAGCAGAACTTCTCTTTAAATTGTGTTTGATCCCATGTTTGCCCTGTAGATGACCCAGTGTGGGCTAAGAATTCTTTCGAAACAGTTGGTAATAGTCTCTGAGTAGATCCAGAGCCTCTTCTGCTGCTGCAGTCTTGCAAGGAAAAGCACCTGGTTTAGTGGCTCTGCTCCCCAGAAACCACTGCTTGCATGCCCTTTTCTTAGAGGTCCCCATAGCTGCAATGCCCAAAGCTGCTTTCTAGAAAGCCAGGATGACTGCAACTCCAGGTCCACATTTCTCACCACTAGCAGGAGGTCATGATATTGTGCAGCCACAGCCGTCCTGGGGACTCCAGGGGAAGAGTCAGTATTTTAAGATACCTTGCAGACAGGGGAACTGGAGGTGGTAATACTTTCTTTCCTGACAAAATCTGGCCCTGCTTCCTTTGGAAAGTTTAGGAATGTTTTTGTTAACTAGTTCAAATTGCACAGTTCTCTGACACCCTGAGGGCTGGGATAACAGTCAAACTCTCTTAGAAGAGTGTAATTATCCTTATAGTTATGTCATACCTGTGGCAACTTAAGGAAGAGGTATGTAGCTAAAGATAGCCAGGGGCAAATATTTACTTTCTTCAGTCAAGAAATCAGGATTTTGGGTCTACAGTGTGGTAAATTGAGAGTATTTGTTGACTCTTCATAAAAAAAATTCAGCTGGCTGGCTTATGAAGTTGATACGTTGAGAGAAATGAAGCACTGTGCATTATTAGAAGTTTGCTGGATCATTTTTGATCTTTGTTTGGGTTTTGTTCTATTGGATATGCCTTAAGGGACAAAGCAATCAGCACATTCAGTGATGGAGCAAAATGCCTGTGCATGATGGCTGCCTGTGAAATAAATGCCCCTTTCATGAAGACATTATTTTTTTCTCTCTGTCTAGGTCCCAAATTTCATTAATGCTACACTTCCAGCCCATGAACGTATTACTGCCCAGGAGATAGACAGCTACTTCCGTCAGGAGCTCATCTATAAACGAAATGAGAGAATGGGCAGGAGGGTGAAGGACCTTCTGGAAGAGTACCCAGACAAGAGTTTCTTCTTTGCATTCGGAGCTGGTATGTGATTGAGGTGCCCTTCAACCTGAATACATTCTTCCCACATCTTTTAGAAGCTTTTTACAAGTGCTTGGTTCAGTTTAAAGAAGGGTCAGTACTTCTACCATGGTGGACACAGAACACAGCTTTGCCCTTATCATTGTACCTTAGTAGGAGAACTTTTTCAGTGTAGGAGACTGTTTTATTTCAGGATCAAAGAGCTCACAAGTGTATGCATTGACTGCATTTATTTATTAGTTACAAACTTATTTGATATATGGATAACCAAAGATACTAAATGAGCTACAATGCATACACAAAAGGACTTACTTGTTTATGGTCTGGTCAACCAAGGGTAGGAGAAACAGATCTGAGATGAAAGGTAGCAAGTCAGAGGTTGCATCAGTGCTTGAAAAAACCTTTCAAGAACATATCCAAAAGAATAACATGCCAAATTGTGTGAATCTAAGAAGCTCATTAAATGCCAAAGTTGATGAAAGGCGCTTTCACCTTTTTTCTTCCTGCTGCAGCTTCTTTCCTCTTTTACTGGGCTGCCACTAGAAGGATATTGTGTCTGCCACTATTCTGGAGCAGAGCATTGGGCCCAGTTATGGAACTGACAATTTTCTGCCTGGTAGTAGCCAGCA